TTTATCTGGACCGAAGAATGTCAACGGTCCTTTGAAGGGTTGAAAGCATACCTCCTCTCCCCGCTGGTGCTTTCGAAGCCAGAGCCCGGAGAGACCTTATTCTTATACTTAGGAATCTCTCCTCGAGCTGTGAGCTCAGTGCTAGTGAGGGAGGAGGAGGGCGCACAGCGACCAGTATACTATGTGGCACGGGTGTTACGAGGGGCGGAGCTGAGATATACAAACATGGAGAAAACCATCTTTGCGGTGGTATGTACGGTAAAAAAGCTTACGCCATATTTTCAAGCCCATCCGGTCCACGTGTTATCCCAGATTCCTATTGGAACACTTCTTCGAAGCCCAAATGCCCCATCACGGGTCAGCAAGTGGGGGGTGTTCCTGGGGCCTTTCCAGATAGAGTTCAAGCCGCGACCGGCGATAAAGGGGCAAGCATTAGCAGATTTCGTGGTAGAATGCACCGCAAGAGAAGTAGGACCTAGCGGAGAGGAACCCGAAGGAAGTTGGTGGACTGTGTACACCGATGGATCGTCCGCGACTGATGCTTCGGGGGGAGGAGTCGTGGCGATATCACCAGAAGGGTTCAAAGCTTACTACTCTGTGAGGTTCCGATTTAAAGTCTCGAACAATGAGGCCGAGTACGAGGCATTACTTTGTGGCCTAAGGTTGGCAGCCTCATTAAGAGCTGAACGGATCCAAGTCCGGTGTGATTCTAAGCTCGTAGTAGGCCACGTCACTGGAGAGTTTGAGGCTAAGGATGAACGAATGAAGAAGTATAGAGACACTGCCCTGGAGTTGCTTAAAGCATTTGGGGCGTACCGGATAGAGCAGGTCCCTCGGGAAGAGAATGTTGAGGCAGATATCTTGTCGAAACTTGGTCCGGATTCCCCGGATCATATTAAGGCAATGACCCAAGAAGAAGAGTTGCTCGAGCCAAGCATCAGTCCCGGCCAAGTGCTGATCATCGCACTCAAAGAAGAGCCGGATTGGATTGATCAGATTACCATGTACATCCTTGACGGGTCGCTACCTGCCGACCTAATCGCGGCAAAGGTGGTGAAGCGACGTGCACCCGGATACACGCTAGAGTGCGGTCGTCTGTACAAGCGATCGTATAATGGTACATTGTTGAGGTGCTTAAGAGCGGGCGAGGCACAGAAGTTAATGGAGGAAATCCATGAGGGAATATGCTCAGCACATCAGGGAGCCTTCACGATGTCCAGGAAGGTAACCCTACAAGGATACTTTTGGCCAACGATTATTAGAGACTATGCAGAGTATGTGCGCAAATGCAAGGTTTGCCAGGAGTTCCAGAGGGTGCCGGGGCGACCGGCGACGAATTACACCCCGATAAGTACGGCGATTCCCTTTGCTCGTTGGGGCATCGATCTGGTCGGCATTTTTCCTCGGGGGACAGGGAACAACACGTACCTGGTGGTCGCGATCGACTACTTCACCAAGTGGGTCGAGGCCGCCCCCGTACCTACCATCACTGCAGAACAGATGACGAAGTTCGTTTCCAAGCAAATTTTGTGTCGATTTGGGGTGCCTCAGCAGATCATCACTGACAATGGAACCCAATTCGAGGCCGGAGGGTTCAATGAGTTTCTACAGAGTTGGGGCATAAGTCACAGCTATGCAGCGGTCGGGTACCCTCAAACCAATGGACAGGTCGAGAACACCAATCGCACCATCATGGACGGTCTCAAGAAGAAAATAATGGAATGCAAAAGTGCCTGGGTGGAGGAATTGCCCTACATCTTGTGGACCT